TCGGCCTTTGCATTAATCGACCGTTTGAATGGGCGATTTAATACAATTAGAAGAAAATTAAACAAAAGCGACCGCAGAAAATCGAAATTTTTAATTGAAAGCAAAACTCTGTCTTATCTGCGACAATGACCATTATACTTTTCCTTTTGATGTCGTTTATTTGTTGTCATACATTATTGAGCGATTATTGCGTAGTTGATGATGAATTTTTATAAATAGGAAATGATGTATTTTGAATTGGAAAAACTATCTGAATGATCAAAAGTTTGGAAAAATCGTTACAGAATCGACGTAACCGTGAACCTGAGAGTCGAACGACTCTCGTGGAGTAGATGTAGAAGGACTTCCTGAAACGTGAGGCGTAACAAGTTGAGGCCGAATATTATTCGGAGGTGAACGGCCCCAATTTCCCGTTACACACGCACACATTGGAAGCGATCGTAGTTCGAGAAACCACCGCACCGCGCACATCCGAAGAACCTCACCAACAAACTCACCACGGTCAAGTTTAACACTCAGTACAGACGAGACAGCCGTACAAGACAAACGCGGCGAATATCACTAGTTTTTTTTTAAACACATTATCTTTCGCTTTTACCGGCTCTAGTGGTTATCTCCCGCTGTTATAACATGATCAAAACAATTGTGATTTTAAATTCTTAAGACTGCCGATACCGGATATCTCGATGCCCAGCATAAGTGTGTGCATAAAATAGTATTAGACAAGGATCTCAAAAGCATAAACTTATCCAGGATTACAATCAATCTGGGAAAACTGACGACTGTGCGCAACGCAATTGGATTATTTTGAGTGAAGTGTTTCAATGCTTCGCTTTAATAAAGGATAATTCAAGGATTAATGTTTACAACTCAACGGTAAGAAAAAGCAACATCTTACACTAATTATAACAAATTCAAATTTCAATTGGATCATTCACTAATTGCAAATTGTTTCCAATAGAATGAAGCAAAATAAACCTAAAACCGCAAGGCTGCGAGTTTAATAATACAGCACCGAATGACCTTAAAGTGCTTTAACCTTAAGTCACACAATCAATCCATTCTGCGGTTATACAATATACATCGAATAATTCGTTAGGTGAGAACTAATGATGCGGAATGGAATCGACATTGATAAAAAAAACTTATCTAATTACGTTGCTAAGGTCGTCGCAATAATGTAACAATGAGAAGATAATTAGATTTGGAAATATCGCGGATAAAAAAAAAATATGGATATAATGAAAAGTAAATAATGACGAAGTTTCGGGAGTTTTTAAGGTCATGCGCGAGGTTCGTTGAACTTGAACCGAGCCTCGCGAATATTGTATATTTCGCTGACCCCCCTCCACCCATTTTCTTTACCTTCGCGCAGAACGGGCGGGCTTTTAATTATTTGACCGAATCCCTTTTTCGGTTCAATGAAAATTGGTGCAGTTGCGAAAAATAGATGATGATGGTCGGTGATAGCGTAGGGAAAATTATTGCGAGGATAGGAGTGGGAAGAAGAAAAAACGGCGCTGATGATCCCACCACCGTCGATTTCCTACTACTCGTTCTTTTTTCTCTTCGCACTATCTACCACTTTTCTTTGGGATTAGTAGGACACTGGGTTAGTTCATCGACCTCTCGGACTGGCATGCATTATTATTACAATAATCTTTTGCACAGTTATTATGGAGAGCGCGAGTATCGATTTACGCCGGCCGCACATGCATGCATTTAGATATTTCACCAATAAATACAACCATTTTACTATAATCGAAACATCTCATTCATGCATTTACTTTATTCGATTTGCATGTATTACATTTTTACACTTTTTTTTGTAATAATCTTTAGTGAATTAGTACATAGTAATCCTTTGCTGTAATCCCTAAGGGTTATTGTGCGAATAAAGAGTTTCTTCTTTTGGATTTTGGTAAATTCTGAAATGCTTCATGTAAATGGGAACTAGGAATCTTCAAATCCTTTTGTGCGATGCACCTTACCAGAAGAATGAAGCGATTTATTCGCAAGGGGATTAAGAATAGTTGAGGGACACCCGAGAGCGTTTTGTTTGCCATTTTTGGGGAATGGTAAAAAGGGCCGCTAAAATATCTTGACCACACTTGACCAGGCAGCTGTATGTGAAAGGTATAGACGATGAAAAAGAGAGAGAAGAGATGCTCTTTGTTTTCGGGACGAAAGGGCTGCGCGTTTTCTTTTTCAGTCGATTTCCGCCGGGGAAAAGCGCGCAGACTGAGAGCGAGGTGGGGATGGGAAATGCACGCATCGAGATGGGGAAGGGGCGGAAAATCTGGGGGGGAAGAGAAGGGAAATTGTGTGTCGGTCGTTGACCCGGCGTGGCATCCAATGTTGACATCCCCCCTAACCGGATATTTCCCATCCGAGAGGCAGGCAGACCCGAAATATATCCATATCTATGCGGAGAGAGATCCTGTCGTACATCCAATAGGATCTTCTTCTGTGTTTACCTAATTCCTGTAAATTATTTTCTTGTTGATTGTATTTGTTTTGTCTGTTTATTCTCTTCTTTCGTACCGTTTTTAGGCCAAAAGGCCAAGCGATGTACGGAAGGTGCGAAAGCCACGGCAACAATCGCCATTGGTCAAACGATGACCTGAATTAAGTCAATCATACACGTATGAGTCTAAGTGAACGGTACTCATATGCGTTATTGAATTACAACAATAATCCTTCTGGAAAATCAATACAATAAAAAATTTGAATTAAATATTCATCAAACATCTACAATTTGAATGACAACATTATTAATTCAATAAGAGATCAATATTAAAAAGTCTAACATTAGTTACTTAATTAATGATAAATAATGATTTTTTGAGAAACATCTAATTTGTTACCACTAATTATTAAGTTTATATTTTAAACATTGCTGAACAAACAGAATTATAGATTCGTCTAGATCGATATCCATTTAGAAAGATTTTCCTGGATTATTTTCCTCGATATTTCAGCAATGCAACCCCTAGGAAATATGTGTGTGTGTGTATGAATGTGTGCGAGTGTTGTCTGAGAGGGGAGGCATTTGGAATCGATCCGCGACTTGCGTGACGGTTACCATGGAAAGTGTTGGCCCAGGTCATGCGGGGTCAAACCCGAACCTTCCGCAAAACGAGGAACGCCAGGGGATGATGGCTATGAAGCAATTTCGCCACCATCCAACTACACGCTGAATTGTTTTCCGCCCTTTCGACCACCCCAAATAATTAATTCTTCCTCAAAACCCAAAGTCTCACCCAAAGGCTAACGATCTCACAACCGACACTTTTCGACTTTTCTTCTTACTTTATATATTTTTATAATTCAATATCATCTATTTCTTGTTAATTCTCAGTTAACTATAAACTGAAATAAGTACAATTTTGTTTAATATTTATGATTGCAAAATATTGCAAATAATTAAAATAAAAATTAGTTTATGTAAAGTTTATATTACACTTACATATTTATTTCTTTAATTCATCAATAAGTTAAAACAAATAATTTCAAAAACAGTTTATTGCTTTAACTCTATAATATGAAAAATTATTAAAAAAAATAGTTTATTAATAAAATTTAACTAGCGTAAATAGCTATTGTTAATTATTATTTTTTAGAAATAAAATTAAGAAACGTTAAGTGCAATGCAGTGTCGAGTCTGTAGTTTGCATCCCACTGCGATTGTATACTTTTTTGGCGGATGGTTTTGTTGTGCTTCGGTTGGGCGTCCGTCCCTCCGTCAAAACAAAATAAAAGTGAAATTATACGAAATCAATATCGAGGTCGACGAACCCTCGACGAAACTGCATCGCGCACAGGGCTCTGCCACAACCACTACCAACCCCACTCGAAGCCTGGAAAACTCCGGGAAATCCGGCATGCTCCCTGCCTACTATATTTCCACGACCACCTCAACATACACACACACTCACACACATAAACACTTTAGCACGACCATTCATTTGCATATTTATAAATTCCTCAGCATTGCCCAATCACGATTTTAAATTTGACGCGACAAATACGCACACCATGCAGATCTACAAATTCCAAGGGCAATCCTTATTTTTTTTTAGCTCAATTAAATCAAAGTATAATTATAGACAGTTCATATATTTACATATGTTAGTTTATATGTTAATATGACAAATATTTCAAATTAATTTCTATATGCGTATGCAACGGCGATCGATCGAGCACCATTATGAATTAAATTTACAAACTCATTCATAAATCTCTAAATGTAACTTATAACTAATAGGCACTATTAAATTTTAAAAAAATCGTATGGTAAAAGTATTAATTTATTGATTGTATTACGTAAAAGTAACAAAAATGATACCAATCTATTTTTTTTGCTTTTCTGATTTGTTTATTGCACAGTTGTTAAAATTTTGCAAGCATTTGATAATTCTTATAAAACAAATTTATTATTAGTTATTAGCGAAAAAAAATTGTTTCGAAATTAAGCGCTCGATTATTTTTCATTCATTTATTCTTCTAACGTTTTTGCAACTTAATTAAATATAAATTTTAATCTGTTTTTCATCAATTATTTTTCTAATCATTCAATATGTTTAATTTGTTATTATTTGAATTTGTTGATGGTACTTGATTGATATAGTTAGATGGTACTGTTATTACTGAGGGTAAGAAATTGTATGGTGGAATTTGGCAAAGGCGAAGTGCGGTATTGTTTTTGGTTTGGGCAAATTGAATGGACTGCGAATGAGAATAGCGTGCGCATTTGAATGTGTTGGTATGGTGGGACGCGGGTCCGAAAAGCCTAACAATATGCGACATTGAGAATAATGCAAGTGTTTTTGTGCGAGTGGTAGGATGTAATTAATAGAGGCATGAGCGCAATCAGTAATGCACGTAGAATATTATCAGCGCAGCGCGTTATCAGCGCATGTGTGCGAGCGAGAGGGGGCGCATCGTGGGGGCGGTGGGCGCGAGCGAGAGGGGGCGCTTAGGGCCTGAAGTGAAGCAAGCGGGGGGGCGGCGGCAACGAGGGACGTGGGGCGCAGGGCGGGTTGTCGGTCGTTCGGTCGGACGGTGCAGCGTTGCATCAGCGCGCACGGCGGACTGTGTTGTGTTAGGTCGGCGTCGGGGCGCCTCACTCGGTCGACGTTCCTCACTCCAGCACATCTCTTGACGGTGCATTTCCGACTTCCGCGTCGATCCGTGTGGAAGAACGCGCGTGACCAGCAACGTGCAGAAAACCACAAACAACTGGTACACCTAGGGTGTAAACCTAGGTCAGAGCAAACGAGAGGCGTGTGCCTGTGCAAGTGCGTGCATGCGGGACGCACAAAAGCGCGTCGCGACGCGCCACCAACAAACTGTTCGAAAACACGCACAGAACCTTCATGTTACAACCCCCACCAACCGCGTACCACCTTCAACAACAATAACAACAACAGCAGAAGCAGCATCTTCAGCAACCTCAAACAGGAAGCAGTGAGCAGCTCATCTATTTTTTTCCCTCTCTCTTTCTCCGTCTGCATAAACAAAAGTGCAAAATAAAAAAAGAATTATCTCGCTCACATCGTACTGCGTAATACATCCAAAACGAAAGTTGTATTGATCACTGGCTATTAATAGCGAACGCAAAAATAAAAAAAAAACGAACATCAACCCCCCAGAAAGCAAAACAAAACATTTCGTCTTTGACTGTCCATCCTCCTGCTCATGAACTGAATTGTTCCACACCAGTGTCTCCCAACAGTCTCGTTTCCGTTCGGTCCGAGCTCGCCTGTCGCATTTCTCTCTCGATTTCCTCTCATATGTGCGGGAAGACAAAAATCGCAGGAGCGCGTTCAATACAATCAAAAGTGAAAATTCAAGATGGCCGCCGGCCGGTTTCCGCGTAGAAAACGACGCCCTTCGAAGGAACCGCTCTGAACTCGAGGCGCGTCTTAATCTCGCTAAGAAACCGAAAACCCTCACCGTCTCAAAACAAAACGCAAACAAACAAATACCAGCAATCGAAAAAGGTAAATGCTATCATTTAAGATCGCAATTCCAAATCCATGACCTATGACATTTTTATACATATATATTATTTAGCAAAACCATCACACCTCGCCAAACTCCGAATCTTCAACGAAGAAGATGAATCGTTTGAACTCCATGACATTTCCTTGTGCGTTTCCAAAACGCCAGCATCCACATTTTCTATTTTAAATTTGCAACTCGGCAATCCGGTACAGATAAGGACTTCTATTTGAGTAAAAACACCGAACGAAACTCAAGTTCGCTGCAAGGTTAACAATATTTATCGAGCAAATAGTGTTTACTGTTCAACAGTCTCAAACAACAACCGTAATTTTATCGAATTGCATTTCACATCCGACCAACATTTGGTAACACTTTCAAACCCTTTACATAATCACTTAAAATATTTATTTTAATCTAAACATAAAAAAAAAACATTTAATGTTTTTCATGATAAACATTATAAATTGTTTACTATCATACAAATACGTAAATTTCATAAAAATCACATAAAAAACACTATAGTTTAATTACAAAGAAGTTAATTACATTTTCATTCTCATATTATATGTTAATAATAATAATATGTCATTGTAAATGAATACGCAATAGAGTGAGTATTATAAATAAAACGACCTATAGTTGAATAAAGCGATATTAAAAAGTGCAATTGAGTTAGGTTCTGGTTGGTCTACGATAGCGGCAATCTATGATTCAGTCGATTTAATTTGCATTTGCACAATACCGAACATTAAACTTATCAACATACATGCAACATAAATAGATCGCTCGAAATGTATAATTCAATTCGCTACTACGAATTGTTTCTTTTCATTTATTCGGTAATTACGCAAAGTCCTCTAAATTGAGATTTAAATTGCAAGTCGCAGAATCCGTTCGTAGCAAATATGATTCATACAAGTTGTACGATGTGATTATATTGCATGTTAAAAATAAAGGGACAACATAGTCGCTTTGTTACTTGGTTACGTTATCTTTTTGTTTAATTACATGCATATATAATAAAATATTTTTTTTAGAAATAATTAAATTGAAAATGATTTAAAATTGGTATTTTAAACAAGTCAATGTATGTATTTATAAATATTAATTAATTAATGCGTGGAAATATTGTATATAATATTTTCTTTTATTAGGTAATTGTAGTACTTTTTGTTTGTGCTTTTTAGTATGTTGATTCGAAGCGAGTTGCGCGAATGGCATTGATGGTTTAGTGAAATAATAAATGCGGGTAGGCAAATATTTTGCAATTTTCGTCGGAGCCGAGCTGTAATTATTGTTAGTGCAGCATTGGATGTTTAAAGATTAGTCAGGGTCACACGTCGGGTGCCAAACGGTTGCAAGGTTGCAGCGGATAGAGACGGCGTTAGAAAGATTTGATGCGGTTAGAAGGAGAGGCCCTGCACCCGTGACGTAACGGTGCATGCATTTGCAGCCTTGCGAACTATTATTAGTCCCGGGATTCAATTTGATCGTTCAGACCGAAAAACACCGAAATGGAGGCAAAAAATTGCGCAACATGTTTTTTCAGACGGCGATCCGTCCGTTTGAGATCGTTTCGTTAGAGACTCCTCTTTCGCTCGATTCAGAGATGGCAGAGGTCAAAGGCAACAACGAGCGAACTTTGCATTTCAGCAGATCGCGATAGCGCGGTTGTAGACCGGGCGAAAAACCGAACGATAGGAGGTAATTATTGCAGGAAGGTGGTATTTCCATTTTTGAATATATCGCGATGTTTCCGCGACGTACGTTCTTTCCGTGCATTTCCGGAAGGTTAAAGGTTAAAGGGTGAGCTGTTGACATTTCGCTCGAGGCCGTCCCGACGCTGCGGACGAATACCAACACTGTGCAGACTATATACCGTATATTGTATACATGCCAAGAAGGGCTAAGGGCAAAGTTCAGATTTGTAATATATATATATATGCACATATAAATGGTTTTAGATAAATAAATGGGAGCCGCGACGGGTGGAAATATGAAGCAGTTGCACGCAGCGACGTTTGACCTTTAAAATAGCTGCAAAAGCCCTCAACCTGTTCATACGGTGAAAAGTAAATTGTTGCGCCAAAGGGTTACCGACTCGGCTATGACGTAGACGCGGAACAACGGTGACGTCACGGGTGCAGCGCCGCGACGCCGGTCGATATCCGCTCTCTCGTACATACTGACCCATATTTGCTTTCACTTCGCGCCCCCGGTGCAGGGGAATGCAACAGAAATTGATTCACCATCATCCATCCACCTCACAGGCCACACACCTCATCCTCATCCCATCCTATCCACCCTCAAACAATCACCATCAACATCTTTATCATTATTGTCATCACTGTTACACGCACACACACTCATTACACGCTTCTTTTCATTCTTACAGAAAATGATCGAGGAAGGCCAAGTGTCGTCGGCCAGTGAGTTCGACCTGTCCAATATGCGTGAGGAAGACTTCGAACAGCACACCACCTACATAGTGCCAGACATTTCCGTGGAAGTCGGCACCCCAAACAGGGCCGAAGCCACGCTACCCAGAAATCTCGTTCTTAAATCTTCCCAAGCCCTCTCAGATGTAAGTAAACGTGGAAAGCCTTTTTTCCAAATGCATTTACTAATAATTCACTTTATGTTTAGGCTCAAGGTGTTTGGAGCACGGGCTACATCCCACGAGGGACGCGCTTTGGACCCCTCGTGGGAGAAATTTACGCCAAAGATGCTGTTCCACCATCGGCCAACAGAAAATATTTCTGGAGGGTAAGTGCATTTATTTATATTCGCATCTAGTAAACTATATAGTTTTTATTACAAAGAAATATAATCATCTTATGGTTGTGGTTCACTTCTCTAATTCTCGACTTTCTTTCTCTCCTTTCTTTCCAATAGGTGCAACTACGAGAGGGCTTTTTCCGTAATACTTGTAACGAATCTAAGGTACTTTGTTCTAACTTTCCTTTAGAAAAATAAAATAAACTAACCGTTCAGAAGTAATTCGATAGTTAACACGAAATTGAAAGCGCACCGAACAAACAAATTAGTCAATGCTTAGTGTATTCTAATCTGAATTATAAATAGAAGTTTTCGCAACGGTGTGCGGAAATAATCTGAAGGCGACGGGAATATTTTGCCAACGCATTCTGATGTTTTATTTTGTTGATTTTTTGTTTGCAGATATACAAGGAAAATGAGCTTTACTTCTATATAGATGGGTTCGATACTTCGAAGGCGAATTGGATGCGTTACGTGAACCCTGCTTATTCGAGCGAATCGCAAAACCTCATCGCTTGCCAATACAAGATGAACATTTATTTCTACACGATAAAACCCATTCTCCCCAACCAGGAGCTCCTCGTCTGGTACTGCAGGGAATTCGCGGAGCGCTTGAACTATCCCCTAACTGGGGAGCAGATGCTTCAAAGAATAAGTATGTTAAATGAAATTACGAAAAGTCCAATTGATATTTATTAATTTGCTTTTTTTTCTATTTCTCTTTTGTACAATAGGACAGCAAGTGCAGCAGAGCTCTGAAGTGATTACGGTGAGCACAACAGATCCTCAAGCAAAAGAGGGCCCTCCATATGAGCATCAACTAACACCTACAGATGGAAGTGTTCGGTCAGACGAAGGATACCACAGTAATGGATATCACGACGATGCGTTCACTCCGCCTGAAGATTCCAGCGATTCCGACAGTGAGAACAATTATGTGTTGGACTTTAGTACAAAGCCAAGTTCCAAGGAAACCGCAGTGATAAAACCCGTAGCTCATGAAACCCAAAAAAATGAATACCGTAAAGTGAAGATCAAGATTTCGAAGGCCTATCATTACAAGTCGAAGGCAGCGGAAAGTGATCATGAGAACGAGAAGGCGCCGTCCCCAGCAGTACCTGAAATGAGCACTCAAATAGTGACACCCCCAAGTTCGGTGATAGTTTACGACTCGCCCCCACACGAAGTTCCTAACAAGCCCTTCTACGAATCTGATGTTAAACCGCAACCGATCAGCAGATACACGCCGCCTTCTTCGAGCATCTTGGAGAACATCCTTCTAAGGAACCGCATCGATACCAATAACAACAACAACGACCAAAACCAGCGCCAGCCCAATGCCACCCCGCCGCCTAGTTCACCGACGGAGATGGCATATTCCTACAAGAAAAGTCATAGATACGGAGCGGTGCCTTGCAGTCCAGATTCAAGTTCAAATTTACAACAAACGCAAACGCCGACAAGCAAGAGCACTCCGCCGAGCCCTCCGAACAACTTTTATTTATCACACAATTACGACTACCAACCGCAGACATACTACAACCTGTATCAATCTCCCAACAACAACACCGTACACAGTACGATTCCAACGCCGACGACAACGTACTCACCCCCAATAACGACGAGTTTCGCTACAACTCAGATAATCTCTACGTCCCACATAATGACCACAAATCTGAACCATCAACTTCTCACCCCGCTGACACCTCTTCAGCATCCATCGAGACCGTCGCCCCCAGGTTCGAGAAGTCCCGACCAAAACTCTTGCAGCCTGAGCCCGACGAGTCCCAACGGCTCTTCACGTGGCTACAGGAGCCTACCATATCCACTTAAGAAGAAAGACGGTAAAATGCATTACGAATGCAACGTCTGCTGCAAGACCTTTGGACAACTCTCCAATCTCAAGGTCCATCTGCGTACGCACAGCGGTGAACGACCGTTCAAATGCAACGTGTGCACAAAATCGTTCACCCAGTTGGCTCATCTCCAAAAACACCACCTGGTGCACACTGGAGAGCGTCCTCATGAATGCGTCATATGCAAGAAGCGATTTTCATCGACATCCAATCTGAAAACGCACCTGCGACTCCACAGTGGCCAAAAACCGTACGCCTGTGACTTTTGCCCCGCCAAATTTACACAATTCGTGCATCTGAAACTACACAAAAGGCTGCACACGAACGAGAGGCCGTACATTTGCCAAGAATGTGGAAAGAACTATATCAGTGCATCAGGTCTTCGGACCCATTGGAAAACAACTTCATGTAGACCTAACAACATCGAAGATGAACTCAACGGGGAGTGTTCTCCCAACTACTACGACTACGCAGCTTCAGAGAACAGCTTAGGTAATTACACATATTTAATGATGAAAAAATGAGCTCCATATCTAACTGTTGTTTTTGTTTGCTTGCTTAGGTTCCGTAGACATGAAGAAGGAAATCTTCGATGAATCGAGAGAAATGTACGAGGTTCATGGCCAGCCAGCACAGATGGGTCACACGACGGTCCTTCATCCGGGTTTGTCAAGGCCTATGACTCAACAAGGCGGGGGTATGCAAGTGCATCACCAAAGGGTCTCAGGCCCTTTGGTCTCGTCGCACGCGACCAAAGTAGAATCGAGGCCGAGCGTGATAGAATCCTCGCAGCCACACATAATTGAATGTACCTAAAAGGACAATTTGCTCATTCGCGAAATTGAAACATAGAAGAAAAGAAGCAGAAGAAAGAATTACATAAACTCAACAAAGAAACACACACAACCTAATAGTTAAGTTGTTAAGTTTTTAATGTTTATTTAATTTTTAAGAAAAATGAAAAACAAACTCCCTCTCACGTGCATTGTCCCGTAAAAAAACGCGAAATATTGAAAACAAGCAAAAGAAAATTTGCTGAAGAAAGTTTTTCAATGGAAAACATTATAACAAAATGGACGAAGAAGCACCGAAAAAGCCCAACCCCCCCGCGCGCAAAATGAAATTGTTGCGAAAAGTGAATTTATTTTATATTTTTTGTAAAGATACTCAGAAGATGATAATAATGATAATATATTTTTGTTGAAACGTATAAATATGAGATATTTTTATAGATTTAGTTTATTTATTGAATTTATTTAAAAACATAAATGAAGAAATCGATCTTTTCATTTTGTATCTACCTTAGATGGTGCAAAAATAAATAAAAACTAGATGGAAACAAATAATTGATTGATCAAGTATTGATGAAGAAAATGACCGAATTTCGAATTTTAGACTGATTACGAAAATTTAAAGCAATACAATTAATTAATAAACCATGACTCTTATTATATGTGTATGACGGTAATTGAGGAAGAAGAAGAATAAGAAGATGAAGAAACAATGGACATAAATGTAATAACCAAAAGAAAACCAAAAATGATTGATATTAATATTTACTAAGTTCGTTTTTAATTGAGAATGAAATTAATGAATGGATTAATTGTATATGTATTTTCGAGCGCATGTAGTAATAAATAATCCCGAGACTAAATTGATGACTACTCATCGACGACGGCATTTTATCAAATATCGCCTCTTTTATATTCGAAATGAAAATTATATGCGTATTCAAAATTTTTGCTGTAAGCGTGCGAATTCAAAGTCTTTTTCTCTCAAAGATGGTAAATTAAAAAAAAAGTTCCTTGACTGGAAAAATAAGCAAGGGAGCGAATTTCTCGAGCCAATTTATTCACGTAATAATGCATACATTTTCTATCATTTTAAAGTTAATATCCAAATACATACAAACCAAATATGAGATCATGTTAATTATAATAATATTTCGCCTAATACTAAATAATAATTGAAGAAAAAAAAATAGTTGTATCGGTACTTGTAAATGTAATAATAAATGTATAAAATAAGCTATAAAGAAACATACAACTCGATGGTGCTTGTGACTACTAAATATAATAATTTCTGTTTTTTTTTTACTTAAGCAACAAAAATAATATTAATAAGAGAAACAAACAGAAAACGAAACAATAGTTCATTTCTACTTTTTTCCGCTTTATTTATATAAGTTTACATTTAAACATAAAAAATAAAACAAATTATTTATAATCAGTTTGGTTTCCTCTTGCAGCTTTAATATTTACATTTGTAACGATTATTATATATTAAAAAAAAAAACAGAGAAAGAAAAAATGAAACAATGTTTAATATTGTTGAAAATGAGAAAATGTCGCGCGTGTTTCTGTATGTATGCCTGTCTTCGTTACGTGTTTAGTTTTGTTTTTGTCTCAGTATTAAATGTTCTTTTTTGTTTTAATTTTTGTTCATTTGTTGGCATTCATTATATTTTTTTTGGTAATTTCTTTTTATTTTCGTGGAGAAAATCAATATTTTTGTATGGACATATTTGTAAATATAATATTAAAAAAAAAATATACTACGATATTTTTAGGTACCTACTTGAAAAGTTTGTTGTAAATTATGTAAAAAATGCGTTTAGAGCACCGCCACTTGCCTTGCTTACTTACGACTCTAATTTTATGTTTGGTTTCTGTTCCAATTTTTTTTTTTTCCGTTTCTTATGTTACAATATATATATTTTTTTGATTTGTTTTTCACATCGATCACATACAGACACAATAATTTAATTGAATGATTTTTAATTTAAAGAGAAAAAAAAACAAACTTACAGTGCATCACAATAGTATAATATTGTTATTAATTTCACGGAGTATGTACTGTGTACAATAAGTTTTATTTTTTTTTTGTTTATTTTTTTTTTAATTTAATGTAATTTTTAAATATTATTATTGTTGATTAGTGTTTATTATTTAATAATTTATTTTCTACATAATTTCGATCAAAATTGTATAAAAATTTAATTTAGGTGGGTACCTTAACCATTAAGGAGAAAAGAAAAATTTAACTCTGGCAAAAATCTTACGGTTTGGTGTAAATATTCTATCTCTCTTTCTCTTTCGTTTTGTTAGATTTTATTTTTTTTTGTGGAATCATTATGATTTTTTTTTATATTATTTTATGCGTTTTGGTGTAGTTTTATTTTTCTTTTCGTATGTATACTTGTTCAAACAAAAATTGTTCATTTTCGGTTTATTTTTCGACACAATATGCATGTAAAAATTGTTCATATTACTATTAAATGTAAAATTAATATTTATAATCGCAGTGTGTTTTCTTACCCAATCTCCTTGTAATTTTCTTGTATATTTTTATAATGTTTACTATTTGGAATTCCTTCATTTTTTTTGTTCCCAATCCGCAATCTAACGCCGCCTACTTGTGGGCGGTACCATCAAAGTCAAGGCTTTTGCTTACATTCACGGCCTCTACAATTATTTGCATGCCATTTTGACTACAAGGGCGACTAATAGCCGAATGGTTAAGTCGCTCTACCCACGATTTCGTGGGCGCCGGTTCGAATCCTGGTCAAGCCACAAAGGCCCTCTGTGAGCCCTCTCGGTGCTTGCAGCAATAGGGCCATTGTTAATCACAGAAGGACAATCAAATGAATGATGTTCAGCATATGGACCTTCAGCGAAGTCGATGGACAATAACAGTGTTAGGGATAGCAGCAGATATACAGGCAAAGGGAATAATGGAATCGCAGAGCATCAATATACTGAAGTTAACCTATATGACGGCAGCCAACCAACAAATTACAGAAGAATATGATGGTACAAACTTCCATTTCTATGAACTACTCGCGCGGTGTATTGTAGACACCACATGTATTACTATCAGACAACGTGCTTAAATGATTGTATTACGACAAGAAAAAACTTTTTCATGTTAACTAATGATTTTTTATTAGATTCATAAGCATGCACACAAACAACTTCTTTGTGCTGCAGTCAAAACAATATTGCACCGTCATTTAGTAAACATTTAGGTTACAATAAGTGTCATAGATGTGGGAAAGAAAATATAGAAATTGATGAACATTTAACACCTGCGCGAGTAGTTAAAGATTTTTTTTTATGATTAAATTTTATTTGAAATGAAAATGAAAATAACAAACAAATATTTGAAATATACATTTCTTTCAGAGCCTTGTACTAATATCTTTTAATTATGTTAAATGTATGTACAATTCCTGAGATTTGTTGTCGTTTTATATAATTAAATATTCTCTGCTTTCCATGTACTTGGATATAAACTCTTTTTTTAGCTTCCGTTTATAGCTTTTACAATGTATACTAAAACTCTCTGATGTGCCATGAAACATTAAAGTTTTTTTTTGTAGAATAACGGACGCGTTGGAAAGTCCGTAGCTTCATCTTTAATTTGAGTGATTGTATCACGTAAGGCAGTGTTTCTCAAACTTTTTGGTTCGCGACCCCCTTTTCTATAGGTATATGTAGAAAACGGTGGCAATCGCAAGACCGACAACCGAAATCCCGTCTATCGAAATCGCGATGTTCAAAATCCCGACATTCGAAATCCCGACTACATCGAAATCCCGAATATATTGAAATCCCGACTATATCGAAATCCCGACTATGTCAAAATCCCGACTATAGCGAAATCCCGATTATATAGAAATCCCGACAGTGTCTTTTATTATTATAAATTTCTACAATAACATTTTTATGGTAGTCGGGATTCGATATAGTCGGGATTTTGATTGTCAGGATTATGGTAGTCGGGATTTCAATATAGTCGGGATTTCAATATAGTCGGGATTTCAATATATTCGGGATTTCGATGTAGTCAGTATTTGGCTATAGTCGAGATTTTGATTGTCGGGATTATGACATAGCCGGGATTTCAAGCGTCGGGATTTTAATACAGCGGGGATTTCGAACGTCGGGATTTCAATAGACGGTCTTTCGGTTGTCGGGCATGCGATATAGACCCGTAGAAAAACATACCGTCCCGTCTGTCATCAATTCTTCTGCGACCCCCACTTTGAGAATCACTGATCAGCCTAGTAACAAGAAAAACAAATATGCCAATAATACATGATTTCAGTATGAAAAATAAACATTTCTAAAATTTGACAGTCAATTTTAGGAATGCGTTGGATAATCCATAATTAGTGTTGTAAATTATGTCACTATTTTTATAAATAAATATTCTTTTTATGTGCATTCCCATTTATTTAATGATTACTAAATTTTTTTACATTAACATAAAATGGTGTATGCGCCGGGCAAGTAACAAACAACAAACAATAAAACTTTACTTATTAAAGCATAGTAATAATTTAAATCTTTAAGTTAACAGCAAAGTTACAATTTATAAGAAAAAATGTTATATTTAATTGTTTTATTTTTTTAAACCTAATTTAGATAAAAACAAAGTTATTATCACCATTTTAAGGAAGACATTTTGTAAAATTAATTAAAAAAACAATAAAAGATGTTTAACAGTATTTTCAAATTATTATGCAAATCAGTATTGTAGAAAATAATTTTTAATGATGCTTGGATTATTTATTTTACATTAGTAATTTTTTAAATAATTACAACCATTAGCAGATAGTCCATTTATCATATGACTATCATAGCCCTCTATATATCTATGACCAAACTATTACTAGAAAATGTTAGTTATGCAACCAAACAACCATATGAAACATCATTTGTATAGGCACTTATTAAGAGATGGCGTCACAATTTGATTTTCTACAAAACCACAGCGGTTCTTAACATTTTTTTTTAATTTACTTTTTCTCAATATCTTTTAATTATGCTTATTATGAGAATAATTATTGTGGAATTTTTCAAAATCAAATATTTTAAATGTGTACTATAATTCTATTTACTCTTCAGTGGTCATTGTGCTGGACACACGAGTAAAAAATAATATAATAACTCTATGAAGGGCTAGAAATTCCTAAATTTCTAGACTAAATTTCTAAAATGAATGATTTGTATTAAAGAATTTGCTGATTAGAAGGTGATAATTCCTCTTTCTTGGACATTTTCTAGAAATATTTAAGTATCAGTAATTACAGTAAATACAGATAAGACACGTAGAGTTGTTGATATTTAA